ACTTGAATGTTTTGTATCTGTCAGCGATTCATAAATGTCATTTCGTGTAACGCTTTGTAAGAGAAACTAATTCATTTTTGTTCTCACACACATAATTAGCATATTCTTTCGTGTGTGAGAATCTGTATATATTTAAATATTTTACTACTGTTTACTGTTTAGAGGTGTTTATCAAAGAAGCACAATTTTAACACTTATTTTAAACGCTAAACGCAACTAACTGCGGGTGAAAATTAGCTTTTTAAATATTGTTTAAGGCATTTTAATGCAAGTACACATATCCCCCATATTACGCGGTATTCGTTTTAAACGTTTTCGATCTCACACGGTTTTTGGAAATATTTTGTTAACTAAATATTTAATTTTGCATTTATACGATTTTATAAATAATAAGTTATAATTTGTTTATAACTACAATAACATTTTCATTATTAACTTTCTTTGGAGTAAGTTATAGTAATCGCAAAAAATAGAAATCAAATTTTTTATGTATCTTTACTTACGTTTCAAAAGTTTCTGAACATTTTGGCATGCCTTAATAAAATGGATGTGTATGTGTGTGTATGTCGCGGATACAATTTTTCGTCGACGATTTTGAGAACACGGATCAACCGATTTAAATAATACAAAAAACATTCGATTGCTATTGATGAGGGAAATGCTAATTTTCAGTTTTTGAGAGAATGAAGCGTCTAATTTGAGTAATTCAAAAAAACATTTTACTTTAACGAAATGAACAACTGGTGCAATGTTTGGGAAGGCAGGTCCAGCGTTTTCAGAGATCCAATAAAAAAGTAAAAAATTATGCCATTTGGCGGTCAAATATCATCATTATATATATGCACATCATATGCTCAGATATTTTATAGAGATTATAATAATAAGTGCAAATTTTGCGTACATTTATATGGGTTCTGTATCAATGCTTACACGTAAAACTACGACGCGGCGCTTACGCGCTTAGATTGCTAAAACAGCTCTAAAATGTATGTTACAGTTACTTAGTAGTCTATGTCTATCATGGAAATCTGTAGATAAGATGGGAACTCCCCGTTTTATGATCAAAACTAAATTTTATGTGTGTATAAGCTAGTTCGTTTGAAATACCAAAACTAAAGAGCATCATCGTTTTCAAACTTTTCTTTTAATTAGTGTTATATATAATTGATAGCGTAAATTTATTAATGATATTGAATGTACGTATTAATACTCCTTTTTCGTTCAATGTGTTTGTTATTCATCATGTTAAAAACTGACAAAAAGGACTTTTTTATAGTAGATTTTAGTTTAGCACAGTTTTTTCATATTTAAGTGAATTTTTCGAATTACACGGTGTAAAGCGAGGGATAGGTGAATCCAAAAATCCAAAATTTTTCAAAAAAAAATAAAAAAAACACGATTTTTTCTAAAATATATTTTAGAAAATAAAATTTATTTTCTGTACTAAAAATATACGTGATGTTTGGTGGAGGGGATGAATTTAAGTATCATCAAGGTACAGGGGTCCAAAATCCTTAAAAAGCGATCACGTGATTAATGAACGCCCACTAATTGGCATACGGATTTTTATCAGGATTTAATTTGTTATCATAAAATAATTTCGATTGCCTTTGTTTGTCTGGAATGTTTTTTTACTATACCGGGTGGTAATTTTTTATACAGTTAAAAGTACTTGTAAGTCGTATCTCAAGTGATATTTTATGACGACCACCAGTAAAAAATGATCTCGTAAAATGCTAGACGAATTGCGTTTAGTGAAAGTTTCCAGATATTATCTGAATGTTATATAGGTTATTAACTGAACTAATAAACATGTAGGGGAAGTACAGACAAAATTACATGGTGTTTTGTTTTTTAATGATATTTATTTATTAGTATCAATTCATAACTAATTGTGAGTTTCAATATTTGATTCATTGAATACCAGAAACAGTCTTATAATTAAGTACGAACTATACATATTTATAAAGGAAAAATTAACATATTTATAAAGGAAAAATGCAACCAATTACAAAACCCATTTTGTCCATAATTTGTCTAAGTTCATATTATCCAATGTCCATTTATATGGACATTACTTATGAACTTAGACATAGGGTAAGGATATATTGAGGTGCAAATTTTTTTCACAAGTTTACAAAATAATCTTTTGGCCCTTTTTGGTGTATCAGAACATGATGCATGAGCCCAAAGAGAACCAATGCAAGCCCCTTTTTACCGGTCAGTAGAGTAGAAGTTAAAAGCCAATTACCTTTGACTTAATATTCTTTTTTTATCTCAAATGATCTATTCTGTAGCTCTTGCAGAATTCATTGCAAGTCATTTTATTCATTGTATAAGTATGTTATTTTGTTCGAAAGGGAACAAAAATGAATAAATAGTAAAAATTTCATAAAACACCTGATAAACGCAATAAAATTGATATGTACCATTTTGTCCATATTTCCCCTACATAGAAAACATAATAAACTTCTTTTAAAGCACAACAAAATGTATGAAACAATTATATTTATGACCTATTTAAATATTTATGATTAGAAAAAATTACAAACATATGGTAATGTTATCTACATGATGTAGATAACTAACAAGTAGATAGTGAACTAAATTTAATTTTCTCTACATTAATGAAAATTAATTACAATATTTGTTGATGTAGTCTATATCAAATTTAGTTTCCTTTAATAAATAATAAAGTTAGTTAACTTTATTTCTTTATTCTCATATTTAGATATTGTTCTACTTGTATACGTATTACATTTCCTATTTCAAGCAAATGCGTTTTTGCACAAGTTTGTAAATATTTAAACTGATCAATTAACATTGGGACTCTTCCAAAACATTGGACGTGGTCCAAGTTTTTCTTGAATCATCTTTCTGGCCTTTATACGAAGTATCTTCATTTGTATTCTCTATTTTTATGAACCTGTGTTTCAAATATAAAGATCAGAGACAGAGAATTCATAGAAATTTATAACAAAAATAACTATATGCATATGAGATTTATGTATTATCAATAACTATGCATATTTATTTTTTACTTTTAACCGATGTTATTATAAATGTGCACTTTGAATATTCATACGTATAACAAATTAATTTTTTACTCGTTTATGTTTTATTAAGATGCTCATCTGTTTAAAAGCCAGTTCAGTTTTTTAACAACTAATTAAAATTTACATATTACGGGTTTATTTACCATAAATGATTTATGGCATATTAATTTTAATCATAATTTGTTACGTGTTTTTATGTTTTAAAATCAATTTTAATGGAAATCAGTTATTAAATGCTACTATTGATCATTACATTTAATTATGGTTTATATAACTATTCAATTAATTTTAATTATATATTTCCGATGTTGGTTTTATAAATGTCAGTTGCAGAGGAGGCAGTTTCAATAGCGTTTTTACCATGTTCACCAAAGCTTTAGATTACACTTAAAAGCTCTTTCTTTTAACTTCGCGAAGGGAAATTGCAATCGTCCAAAAATCGATAAATCGTGCATATGTTCACGTTTTGAAGATTTCTGAACATTTTGGCATACCTTAGAAATAATGGATGTGTGCGTGTAAGTGTATGTATGTATGGATACAATTTTTCGTCCACGTTTTCGGGCGCACGGATCAACCGATTTGAATTTCTGCATCAACCGATTTTGATTTCTGCATGTGTTGACGAACGATTGTTTTTGAGAAAAAAAAATAGTTTCTTATTTCATTTTTTTTTAATTCTCAGACATTGAAAATAATTCGAATTTTCGAAATGTGAATTTGGTACGGGAAGTTCCAGCAATTTGATTTAAGGCACGATGCCATACACCACTAGTTTAAATTATTTTGATGGCAATTATAATCAATACTATCATCACCTTTCGGTTTGGCGTTGAGTTCTGGTGCACCCTCTGAAAAAAGAAAGGAAGCATGCTAATATAACGTTTTCACAATTATATATTTATGCAACTTTTATTGCAAATTCTACAAATCTTTGAGGTGCATGTGATTATAATGTTTCTAATCCTCCTTTAACCTGCCTGCAGAAAAGTGCAGAAAAAGCTCTGTAAATACAAAAAATATTATAACTAGTGGGGCGCATGGCATCGTGCCTTAAGGCAAATTGCTGGAACTTCCCGTACAGATTTTTTTTTTTTTTTAAATTTACATTTTTGAAAAAAAATTACTCTGAAAATTGAGAAACTATAATTTTTTGACAAAAATTTACTTTTTTTTTTTGAAAAAAAAGACTGAAGAAAAGTGTATTTTGAAATATTTTGGAAATTCTTAACTTTTTTTCAAAGCAATCGTACTGCTTTAACTGCATAGAGACGAAATATCGAAGCTCGTAGCCGCCGCGCCGCCGTCTAACATTGGGACGGAACCCATAGGAATGTAAACAAAATTTATACTTATTGTTAAAATGTCTATAAAATATCTGATAATTTGATGTGCATATGTCTAATGATCATTTTTGACCGCCAGATGGCATTTTTTTTTACTTTTTTTTACTAGATCTCCGAAACCGCTGGACCTGCCTTCATGAAAATTTGATCAGTTCTTCATCTTGTTAATACAAGTAAAATGTTTTTGGCACTTTTTGCCCCATATCTTCGGAACGGCTAGACCTGTCTTTGCCAAAAACTAATCAGCACGTCTCCTTATCAATACGAATCCAATGTTTTTTGAATTATTCAAATCGCTTCATCCGTGCTCCCGAAATCGTCGACGAAAATTTGTATCCGCACACACATACACACACGCACACACACACACATACATCAATTTTTTAAGGTATGCTAAAATATTCAGAAACCTCTGAAACGTAAAGATTATTTAAAAATTTTCATTTTCGTTTTTTTTGCGATTACTATAACTTACCCTACGGGAAGTTAAAAATACATTAGAACCTAATAAAAATATTTTTTAAATTACCCTATATAAGTTTTAGGCATTTAGTTGATCCATATGTGCTTTATTACATATTTGTAATTCGATTTCCAGGAATTTGCTCGTTCACTGGATGCAGGCACTTCTGATGACAGCGGAAGAGCTTCGTTGCGTCTGACTGGTTCATCAGTCGCTCCTCGAGATCCAGACAGCTCCAGAGATAGACTTAGTGATGTAAGTACTAATCACAATTATACCACATCCACATCCACATCAATGATTATTATATACGATCGTACATCAAAAGACAGTTATGTTGTAGGCTCAGAAAATCTTATTCATGTAGAAAGCTTACTATGACAGGAATAACAACTCTATTATTTATAAGAAATAATGATTTAATTCTAAATCGTACCGTTTTAATTGAATTGAATGCTCATTTTTATGCTCATTTTATATTATTTTTATTAAAAATCATTTCTGCGCTAACAATTTCAAATTGTGAATATTTAAAATTACAAATAAGGCACTAAGTTACTAATTAGTAATATATTAAAATGGCAGTTCGATCAATTTAAAGATATTATAGAAACTATGCATATAAATGAAAAGTTGTATTTTCTATTTTTGTGAGAGTGAACTTGCTTGAAATTCATACCAAATATTAGATAAATTATCTATATAAAGATGTTTAATATAAAGATATTCATTATATTTGATGATATAATAAACTTACTTCAAATATATACCAAAAATTAGATAAATTATCTATTTAAATATATGATGACCTTTAATAATGATTATTATTATTATTATTATTATCTTACTATTTCTATTATTATTATTTTGTTATATTTTATTATTTTTCTAGTATTATTTTATTATTCAGAAATTTTATTTATATTATTTATTAATTTTATTTTTATTATTATTTGCTTATATTTTATATCAAATCATATTACGGATATTATTTTCATGTAAATTTTATCCGTTGCACTTTTATTTATTTAAATTTATGTTATTATTTATTTATTTATTACTTGATGTTAATAATTTAACAGTTGTATAACTTATTGAAATTAAAAAAAATAATAATAATGATAAAACTATTGATATAATAATTTCATAAATAAAAACATTTTCGCGCTAATATTTTCATTTCAATTATTTGAAACTACATCAATAGATAGTATAGAAGTGTATAAATAATTTTAAATAGCAAATAATAAAATTTACTAATTGTCACTGAAGTTCTGGTTATAGTAATATATTAAAATCACATTGACAAATTTAAAAAAAAAAAAACAGAAAATGGGTATGTTAAAAAACAGTTGCATTTTATATTATTGGGCTTATGAACTTACTTGAATTCTATACCAAAGATTAGATAAATTTTCTATTTAAAGATGTTTGATATAATGACCTTTGATAATCGTAAAATTATTACGTGTTGCTCCAATTGTATTGAATCAACTTCTATCACAGCAATTGAAATTTCTTAATTTATCTATAATTTTAAACCACCAATCTTTTGAAGATTTATTTGATCTATAAATTATCGTTTTATAACGTTTTTTAATCTACTTTCTATGAGTTAATCTTAAATAAGGTGTGTTCGGTGTTATATTGCAATGTAAAAGATGTAAATTATTTGTTTCAATTTATCTATTTCTTAATTTATCTAATCTTTGGTATAACATTCCAGTAAGTTCATAACCTATACAATAAAATTAACATTTTCTATCTATTATCTTCTTTAACCGATATTTTGGAAAACTGATTTTCGAATAGTATTTTTCCAAAAACAACGATTTTCAGTTTTTATAATAAAAACGATTTTCTCAAATAATTTGAACAAAAAGAACAAACAAAAAATGATTATAAGCAGTTTGATATTATTTATTGTTAAATTTTATTGATAATAATGTTTTTATACAATTAGTAGTTTAGTATTGTGCATTTTGACCAGGATTTTGACCAAGCTCAAAAACAATTAATCATCTGTTATTAAGGCATAAATTTCACATGTGTAAGGGTGTAAATATTTTTATAATAGTGGAAAGGGACGGCAAACGATTTGTAACAGTGTTTTCATCAATCTGGTACATTTGGCTACATTTGTCGTTTTATTTTTTTAGTGTGATTTATACATTGAATACTAGTATTTTCTACAATTTTTTATAAAACATTTTTAAATGATTCTCGTTTCCGGATAAACATTTGCTACATTTCTAGTACAATTTGGTTATTTTTGTAATCTCACATGTGAGTTGCTATTTTAGATTCACATTAATTTCGAAATGCTAAAAATGCATTTCTGAAAGTGATTTTTATTATCATTATAGATATGAATTAAATTCTTTATGTAACACAACTTTTTTGTAACTTTATAATCATTTGCCGGTTGTAATTAAATGTTTATGAGCGTTGAAATAAAAACAAATTTGTATACGGTTTGAATACAGAATTTGAATGGTTTCTCGGTTGTTTTACGGTCGAGTAATTTAGTGTTAAATACATGAGAAATTTAACAGTGTTGAAATAAAAGTTCAAATGATATGATGAGAGCAAGATCATTTCCTTATTTTATATAGTATGTCAATCTAAATCACTAGCACGTGCACATGTGGGACGTAATCGCTTACTACCACCTAAAGCTTTAAGCTTTATGAGCTTACAAGTTTTTACAATATTGCAAGGGATAAAACTTTTTTTTAAATTCTTGTTGTGTATTCGTATGTAATTTATTCTATAATTTTATTGTAATATTTTATATTTAATATAAATGCAATTATTAGCATATATTGTACAAAAAATACAAATATTAGCACTATTTCTCTACCTGTAGTATGTTATCCAATTTATAATCAATTTTTTAAATTGGAACTAATCTAATTCCATGTGCTGGGAAATGGGAATCCCGTGCACAAAAATCGATATACGAGTTAATTTAATTTTCATTGGTTTTCTATGGTAGTTTTAGAAATACTATATCTAGCTTACACTAGCAATGTATGCTTTAGTCATTTTTAATTTAAATGTAGTAATAAAAGTATATTTTGGATAATCTTTACTTTTGTTGTACTTTTAATTACAACCTGTCGTACTAGGATATTCAGTAATTAGGATCGAACCAACGAATCGGGGATAATCGATTTAAAAACTTATCCAATCTTATTACGAATAATTCGAATAGACCTCAATAATGATTCAAATTATTTTCTAATATTTTTACAAATTGGTTTTGAAAACATTAACATCTAGTTATTTCCACCTATAAATTTGCAATGTTTAAGTATTGCCGTTAGCATATTGTATATGTAAGCAAGACTATAATAATGGTATAGGTAATAAATCACTCTCATTGCATGTGGTTTTGAAAGCCTTATTGCTGTTGCAAAACACACATGGTTCAAAAAGCCATCGACATTTTCTTCTATAATTACTTATACTGATTATGTTTGTAATTAATATGTCTACAATGATATGGGTACTTAGGTAACACACTCTCTAAATCATACACATACACATTATATATACACATACATACACATAAACATATATATATATATATATATATATATGTATATATTATATTATATTATATTAGATATCTATAGTTATTGTACTATATTTTCATTTTTCTTCTTCAACAGGCAAGTAGCCGGTGTAGTTCCGGAAAAGGATATATCGTAAGTTACTTGCATTGATTATTATAAATTTAATTAGTTTTGGAAAAGTTTTTGATTAAATTTTCTATGACTTTTGATACTGATCTTAATATTAAATTATTCGTTATACTTTGACTGTACCTGAAACAAGGTCCCATGTTCGATCCCGTCTCGAGCATTCTGACGTCAAATAGTAGTGACATCAGTTTCCACTTGGAAATATACATAGCAATGTGTTCTCACGTGAAAGTAGATCTAATCCGGCATTGCTGCATCAATAAATATTTTCCTTATCATAAAATTTTTAATAATAATTAATCGCTTAGAATTGGGACAACTGTTTGGGTTGCTTTCTGTAAAATAGACAAGCGCTAAGTCAAATTTGCACAACACTTTACGGGACTCTTAATAAAAATAATATACCCAATTTCTTATTGACGACATAATTTAATAACAATATTCCAAATGTGAGGTTTCATTGCAATTTTTTGTAAATATTTCAAACTGTTTTTCTACATACAAATTCTATTCCAAAACCGAAATGAGTCTACAATCAATACAAAGAAACTTAAATGACATCGTTTCTGTCTCGAAAGATCGTGCTTTGCATAAATTAATAGATTTAGATCTTTCGAACAGATATAGGATAAAGTCATGTTTAAATGCAACTTCTTAACGGTCGTGACCTATTGGATATGGCAAAGTATTTATCAAGTCTGAAAAAATATGCATAAAACAGTACAAATTAAAGATCCAATTCTCGGATAAAAAAAAATTTATGGCAACGCTATGTTACGGTCCTATCTTCGTATGAGTTGGTAGTAACGAATTGTCAAACAGCTAGGTATTTGCTGTGCGATCAGACGTTTTACACACAGAACCTAACTTCACGTATATGTTATCAAAGAGACATAAGAAGTTTGCACTTATGATCAAATTATTGTTTGACGTTTGTGCATTTTGCGAGTTAGGTTTTGTGTGTAAAACATCTGATCGCACAGAAAATATATAGTTTTTTCACAGGTTGTTACAACCACCTGATGTGGAGATAGACCCGTAACATAGCATCACTTATTATATTTCATCCGAGAATTGACCCCTAAATTTTAATATTTAGGTTTGCTTGTTTGTAATGAATATATATATGTACATACTAAATCAATACTAAATTATTATTGGCGTATATTCGTCTATTATATTTGAAATATGCGTTTTATATTATAGTATCCCAGAACTCAATGTCAAGCCGAGAAGGGGTGATAGTATTAATCGTAACTATCATGAAAAAAAAATAAAAAGAATGCATGTAGTTTGGAAATTATAAGCTTTTTTGCAACCTAGAGCTTTGATGAGATTGTGTCCATTTTTTGGTTACTGTAGTTAATGTCTATTGATCGTTTAAGGTTTGTGTCCGTATTCGTAATTAACATTTGAACACAGATAAAAATGAAGACAATTAAACTATAATTTAAACTTTCAAAATAGGTTGACTTTGAAAAATCCTCTCTTAAAAAATGTGTACTAAAGTGTTTCGGTAAGTTCCATCAAAGTTCGCGCATTTAATCAGGATTGTAAATGGTAAAATATTTGATAGTTCATAATAGAAAATACTATAACTCCGCTTCGGCTTGTCGTTGGGTTCTGGGGCATCCTTAATGTATATGTATATGTATATATACGATATGTATATATACGATACGTATATATTGTTGATAACTATTATGTAATAAGCAGTATCCCAAGTTATCAGTTTCCATATTAAAATAACTTTGTAATAAGTTTAGTACCAAAGCTAACAATAATAAAAAACTTTTGTGAATCGACTCTATGACCTTATAATACGGTCTATTACATAAAAAGGGTTATTATTGAGCTGGAGAGTTAGTTTTGATTGAACTGCCAACAAGTAAAATATCAGCACTCTACCAGTAAAGTAATAATTTAAAAGCAAATCAATAATTCTTTAAAAAAATCACAAGAGATCCAATAATTATTATCTCTTCATTGGTGGCAGCGGTGGGACAAACTTAAGATATTGCTTATTATATAATAGTTCTCAATATATCTATATATATATATATATATATATATATATATAATTATTTTATTTATTTTATTTATTCATTCATTTATTTATTTATTTATTTATTTACTCGTTTACTTATATTTTACTAATGGAGATATTTTCTCTTTGTTACAGTGTGATAGTGAAGGTGAAGACGACAAGGTAAGCGATATTAAATTTATTGCAATTTATTATCAGAGTAATAAAATTTTAATGCCGTGTGTTACTTTCTGCTGTGTCTTTGGCTTTTAACGAATTGCTCAACTGAGCAGAAAATCGTCTGCTCACATTAAATTTACTTAATTTCGCAATTGGTCACTGTAATCACGCCTTACCATATACTTGCGGCTATTAACCCTCATTGAGACATAAGTTGTGTTCTGTTTAATCAACAAAGAGTCAACAAGCGATTTAATAATGTAAATATTAAACAAGCATTGTTTTCCGCGCTGTTAACTGTTTCGCCGCAAACTATTTCGACAACGATAATGATCGTTCTAATCGTAAAAGTAAAGTAATAAACTTAAATATAGTCCCCGAGTGCGGCGGACTCTGCTATTGGAAACGAGCCAACGGCACGATGCACATCGTACGCCAAAAGTAGGTCCTAATACATTATTCCTATAACGCCGTAATTCACGGCACGTGCATTATTCATAAGACGCTTGACGAACAACACTTTTTTACCTCCACTATGTATCCTTTTCACTTTGTATTTACATACATCTACATGAACAAATTATATACGGGCTGTGGCGTGATAGAAAACATGCAGCTTTTGAAATCTAATTTATTACATCCGTACGTTCGTTTGCAAATCCAGATCATTCTTATTAATTACTTAGTCATCGTGTTGTAGTCAAGTTTAAGGCAAAATAGTAGGGATTAATAATTGATGATAATTATTATTGATATGTTAATAATCGTAATTACTGGTACATTAACCAACTACTTATCAAATTATCCGAACTATAATATAAAAATCAATATAATTTCACATTACTTCAAATGTAGTTCTCCACGACTTTTGGACTTAGTTTTCTTTCTAAATTTACTTAAGTACTATAGCTTAACCTTACTACCATAGTTTTCAATCTGTGGGGCGCGCACCCTGGTTGAGACTGTTGTAATAGGGGCATACATATATTTCCAAAATACTATTTTCGAAAACAAAGCAAAAATTTTATAATAGTAATATAATAAACCAATAAATAATTATTTTTTATTTCTAATTTTACATAATATTACATATTAATTTGTAGCCTGATAATAAGTTATAATATCAGTTAAGTATTTAAGAAATTAAGTTGTTAAAAAAAATTAAGGCGAGGGGTTTTATAAGGTTGGAAAACACTGCCTTACCAAGTAAGGTAACCTTATCAAGTTTTTTATAAGATTTTTATTACATTTAATATGAAAAAAATATATGTATTCTATAAATTTACAACATGAATATCTAACTTCATTTGATGATAACAAAACAATTATTTAAACTATAATAAATTTATATAACTATTACTTTAATATAAATAATATTAATTATTTGGCAAAAATATCACAAAAACCACAAACCATATATTTAAGGACTATACAACACTAACAAAACCATAAATGTGTTGGAAAATTTTGGATAAATTAAAACTGAAATATTTATTTTATCTAAAGATCCTTTATAAAACTAGGTAGCACATAGTTAGAATACCAGAACATATTTTTTGTTACAAAGTTGTTGTGTTATTACTAAATAAACATTTTGAAAAAAAATAATTTTGTGATTTTATTTATTAATTCTCTAATTTCCGGAACTTGCATTGCTTCATGTAGTATTTTGTTTGATATATAGTGTAGATTTACTGGGTTTCTTGATCTTCCAAAAAACTAATATAATACTAATAAGGCTTTATTTTGAATTTTTTGTAATTTATTTATATTATTCTTGCTTGTCATGCACCAAATTGGTGAAGCATATGTCATAGTTTGTCTTATTAAAGTCAAATACATTCTTCTCTTATTTGATTTGTTCAGGGTGCTTTTGTTTTTTTAATAACGGATATAAAGCATATTAATTTTTAGCTTGATCAGTTTTGAATTTTAAGAAAATGTTAAGGAAATAAAATATATCTGATCCATAAAAAGAAACATTAGAAAGCTTTTTGATATCAAAAACGAAAATATATTCTGAAAATTTATTTATAAAAATTTATATTTTCTATTAAAGCATTTAATTTATTGTATATGGAGATTTTTATTACTATACTAATAGACAGGCGAAAAATATGTTGAAGTACGTATAAAATCAGACTATAGAGTAGAACTTTATATACACCTCAATGTTTCCAAAATATGGAGCACTGAATAGCTAGATAAATTTTTATTAAAAATACGGCTTCTTAAAATAAACGTTTTAAGCCTTTAAATTAAATTAAACATTTGCATAACTAGAGTTTTTTCTGCAAAATTTTAATTATAGCTCTATTTGTAGAATATTATTATAAATAAACTATAGAGTTTATTTTATAGTATTAGAACGCAATGAAAAAGTGGATCATAAGATCGTAATTTGATTTTATTGATTTGCTTTTATAATCCATGTATCTAATGTTATTAAATAAAATTACTAGACATGGCATTTCAATAGAACTAATTTTCTAAACAGGTGTATGTAGTTTAGGCGAGTATATTACCACATATTATTTGTATGTCAGTCATAGCAAGCAATATATATTGTTATCGTCAAAATAACAATATGTTTTGTTATTGGTTCTTTCTCTTTCATCATAGTTAATTTGTAAGTTTTTATATGGCTATTAAAACAATAATACTTTTTAAATTTAGTACAATAAACATCGCTGTCGCTATTCCTAAAGAACAATCTTTATTTATTTATTTAGCAAAGCGTGTTTGAACAAAGAAATTGTTTCCACATCAGAAATAATTGAATATTCAAATTGTCGTTGTATGAATATCATTTTTAACTTCATATCAATTTTAACTTCATATCAATTTTTTATGGCAGTTTACGCCAATTTACTATTCGATTATAATTAAATGTAAAACTGATTTTTAAATTGCTTTTATTTACTTTTCACCAACAGAAATTCATTTGATTTCACAGATTTTTTAAGTGCTCAACGCTCATATTATAATAACACTAAAAATATTAATATATGTATTAAAAAACAGTATAACTCGCTTATTGAGTTATAAATTCAGAGTTTACAAGATTAAGTATGTAAATTTCAATATACTATATTATTCTTTTTATTATTATTTACCTATAAAAGTTGTTTTTAGTAAACAGTGATACTTTTTATATTGGAATTCTCTATATATACATTCTGAAAAGTTTGAAAATAAAGTTTATTTTTCCATTTCTATTTGGTTTCATGATAAAGTTTAATGTTACTTTGGCTATATTAATAATAGACACATATTTCAAGAAGCCACGATTCAATATCAAACATTTTCCACGCTGAGAATTTTCATATAGTTTTTATCGTAGTGAAGAAAATTCATTTAGACAGTTTTGCTTGTTATAAAATATTCTTATTTGATATAAAGATATATTCACTTTTGCGTATTACTACAAAAGCTGAGGTCAGAGATAGAGCTAGTAGAATCTAGAATATTTTATATGATTCTGTAGCTTATAATTGCTAAAAACTAAAATTATTATATTATTGAATAACACATATAAGGAAGTTTATGAAAGACCTACGCCAAAATGCCACTTGCACCTTGTTTCTTCTGGATTTGTAATTATTTAAAGAAGTATCATAATTGTTCAAATATCTCTCATAAAACTACAAATTCTCTTTAAATAGCAATACCTGTTTTATGTATTATTTTATTATCTTTCATTTATGGTTACGATTGTCAGTTTTATAAACTTAATTTAGCAATCAATATATTATTTTTTTAATTGCGGCTGATATCTCGGTATGCAAAAAGTAAACATTATCAGCAGACTTTCCTTATTATTATTAGAGTAGATATAGAGACCGCATTTTTAGCAATGTTTTGTTTTGTAGTATCTGTGGAATTTATGGTTCATAAACACAAATGAGTTATTTACGACAATTCATTTATTTGTAAAATGTGACTATTTGTAAAAGATTATTATTTATTTTTTTCCATGGCGTTTTTGAAAACCAAATTGAATTCCAAATGTTTTTTTTTTTGAAAACATTAACATACGCTAGAGCGGGGTACAATTTGACTTTTACCAATCCTATTGTGAACACAAAATCAATTATAACACAACAAATAACACATATCAAACAAACAACTATCAGACTATGTTCAGTAAAACTCCCAGCTAATTTATCACTGTAGAAATGTGTACTTTTTGCTGTTTTTTCAAAAATTTGTGACCCGGTACTTTTTAGTCCATAGGCAGGTTAAAATGGGACAGCTAAGGGAAACCGGTACAATGTCTTATTGTTAATT